ACGGCGGGAGCAGCAGCGCAGAGAGCTGGCCAGCTGGATACGCAGCGACGCCTGGCTGCAAGCAGTCGACGCCAGCGGCGCCATGCTCACGACGTCCGCAGATGCGCGGCCGCAGGAGCATCGCGCGCTGGCGCGCGCGTTCTTGGAGGCCTGGAACTGGGCACCAACACCAACACAGGGGGGGTGCCTCCACATGGGGAAGATGATCCTAGATTTCGGTGTTGGTGGTAATATTTCGGCCACCTTGGAAGCCAGAATACCGCATAGACCACCCTTCGGGTGATAAGGAGGTGAGGGGTGGGGGAGGGACCAACGTCGCACTCGATTGATCTCACTATCGAACTCACTACCGATCTCACAATCGATCTCAATCGATAGATCTCACAATCGATCTGACTATCGATCTCACAATCAATCCCACAATCGATCTCACATTCGGTCTCGCTATTGATCTCACAATCGATATCACAATCGATCTCGCATTCGATCTGACTATCGATCTCACTATCGAACCCACGATCGATCTCATTATCGATCTCACATTCGGTCTCACTATCGATCTCACTATCGATCTCACAATCGATCTCACAATCGATCTCGCATTCGGCCTCACTATCGATCTCTCTATCGAACTCACTTTCGATCTCATTATCGATCTCACTATCGATCTCACTATCGAAAGTACAATCGATCTCACTATCGGCCTCACTATCGATCTCACTATCGAAATCACAATCGAAAATCACATTCGGCCTCACTATCGATCTCACTATCGATCACAACCGAACTCACAATCGATCTCACATTCGGTCTCATCATCGATCTCACTATCGAAATCACTACCGATCTCATTACCGATAGTGATCTCACTACTAACTCAATCGATCGATCTCACAATCGATCTGACTATCGATCTCACAATAGATTCCACAATCGATCTCACATTCGGTCTCACTATCGATCTCACTATCGATATCACAATCGATCTCACAATCGATTTCCCATTCGGTCTCACAATCGATCTCACCATCGATCTCATTATCGATCTCACATTCGGTATCACAATCGATCTCACAATCGATCTCACAAGCGATCTGACATTCGATCTCACGTTCGATCTCACAGTCGATATCAATACCGATCTCACTATCGATCATCAAAACAAAACATCAACATCGTCATCATCATCACCATCATCATCATCAATATCATCACCATAATCGGGACACCGACGGGACACCAGCGGGACACCGGCGGGACACCGCGGGGCCCCGGCCGCCCGGAAGGGAATCATTTGGTCCGGCCGCGCCTCAGCCACACGGGACACCAGCGGGACACCGACGGGACACCGCGGGGCCCTGGCCGCCCGGAAGGGAATCATTTGGTCCGGCCGCGCCTCAGCCACAGGAGACTTTCTCTCGCCCGCCCACGCAGCTTCGCCTCGCCCGCACGGCACGTACGAACACGAAACCGAAATCGATTTCCCGGTAGGGGGGCTCTCCGTTCCACTTCGATCTCACCCCCTCACCTCCGATTACCATCATCACCGAGATCGGGATCGTCTTTCCTCGGTGGAGGCACACCGCCGATCTTGGTGCTGGTGTCAACCTCTAGGCCTCTGACGTTCTTTGAGGCCCAGGGAGAACAGCTCGATTGGGGGCGCCGGCGCGCGGCAGACGCGAGCTGCGGGGCCGCCGACGCAGGCGGGGGCGGCAGCCGCGCGCAGCGTCGCGACACGGCCAATATCCGAGCGCGCCGCGGGCGCCAGCCAACGGGACAGCGCCCACAGTGAGCCGACAGAACCGAGTTGCACGGGCGCCCCCTGCTGCTGAGGCACGCGCCAAAGGGCCCGCCAGTCCAGCGCAGCAGCTGGGGCCCCCCCCCCCGCTGGCGCCAGCGCTCGCGGTCGCCGCGGCGGCACTTGCCGCCGCCCGGATGGCGGCCGAGGAGGGCGAAAATGGCGGCGAGGAGCTGAAGCCAAAACCGCTGACGCCGAGGAAGCGGCCGTCTGCGCTGCTGCCGACGCTGGTGAGTTTGCGAAACGGCTGGTGGACCTTGGCCAAGCGCCTCTGCGCCCTGCCCACGGGCAGGCGAAGGCGGAGACTGCGGCCGAGGCGGGGCAGCTGGCGGCCAAACGGCACAAGCCCGCTGCCGCGCGGAGGTGCCAGCCGCGTCAGGCAGCGGTGCCCGGGTCAGCCTGCGTCAGTCTAGCCGAGGGAGCCAGCGGAGGCGGACGTCGCCGCGCTGGCTGCCCAGAACGACGCCAGATCGGACGCGTACGCTCTGAACTTGACACGGGCACCAGGCGCGCACGAAGCTGGTGAAGTTGAGGGCTGCCGCGACGAGCAGGCCGTGCCCTCGGGGGTGCTGACCGACGTGCGCCGAGGTGCCGTCGCAGCAAGTGAAGCCAAGCTGGCGGCCCACAACCCCGCCACGCCTCACGCAGACGCTGAAGACGAACTGGGGCTGGGCGGCAAGGAAGGGCAAGACGTAAAAGCCGACCGCGACGCCGAAGGTGAGCCTGAGGGCGGGGCTGAGCGGCCGCCGCCAAAGCCACGCGCATCGCCGCGGGAGCGAGCAGCGCCTCCCCCTTCTTCCTTTGCTTCCGCTGCTGCTCGTGCCGATGCCGCCGACTCGAGTCTTGGTGCCGAGGTCGTTGAGGATCGTGGGCGCGAGCTTGTGGCGACATTCGGATTTGTGATTTGTAGGCGATGCGGAGCCCATGTGTTTGGGGGGCCAGGAGGCTCTGGGCTGCCTGCCCTGGTGCTCCCCCCGTCCTGGACGAGCGTACCCCAGCCCAGCACAAAGAGAAAGGCGGCGGAGGCGTGACAGCCTGTTGCTGCAGAGGGTGCGCACTTCCACGGGCGCACACCTGGGCCCCATTCTCGGCGGCCCCAGGGGCCGCCTTGGGCCTTCTGGCTTTGGCGTGCTGGGTGTCTTGCTGCCCTCGTAAGGTGACCGGGGGTCCGTACTTGGGTCTGGCGTTTGTTGTGTGAATGTGTGTGCGCGCTTGTGAGGGGCTCAGGGCGCGGGGGGCTGAATAGCTCTCCGTCTCAGGGATGAGATCCAGCCTCAGCTGGCCAGTTTAGGCCTGCGATGCAGGGGCCTCGGTTGGCCTCGCCGATAGTTCCGTGTCCTGCGCGCAGTGGCACGGGATCTCGACCTGCCGCCCACTGCGGCTGGTACCACACACACGCAGACACAAGCACTCAGCCAGACACGCACAGACACACGGAGACACAACCACACACACACACACACACACACACACGCACATACATACACTGACACACAAACACACGGGCAAACACATACACACAGGACGGCACACACGCACAGAGACGGTCACACGCACACACAGGCACAGACACACACACACACACTGTTTTGGCGTCGCGGCCCTTCACAGAACGACAGGGCGAAGGAGGTTGGAATCAAGACATCGCAAGAACACGCAAAAACACATAGACGAACAGACAGACCGACAGATCGGGAAAAACACACGCAACGAAAAACAGGCGCAGACACAAACAGACTTCCATGCGTGCGACATCGCAATACCCATGGAGCTGACAGAATGGTGCAAACAGACAGACAGACAGACAGACAGACAGACAGACAGACAGACAGACAAACAGACAGACAGTCAGACATAGAGACACACACAGACACACAGGCACAGATGCAAACTGACTCCCAGATTCCCACGCAAACGCACAGACACACGAGCACAACGAGAAACACGCAGCTACACGCCGACACAAACGCACGATCCAAGTATTCGACGCGGGGATCCTCAACCTGCGCACCCCTTTATAGCAAGCTCCGCTTTTCCTCCTTGAACGCCCGACATCAACGAATGCGAACGTGAATGAGGCTGGGTACGGCTAAGGGGAAACAGCCGAGTCTGAATTCGAGTGCACTTAGGCATGCCCAGGTCTCTCCTGGCGGCTCCCCCCCTTTGGGCGCCTACGTGACACGCCTGCGACATCGCAGTGGCCATGGGGCTCTGCAGGGAATGGGGTACAGTCAGCCCGTGTTATAAGGACGCGCGATAAAGATGCAGGGCCTTGGACGGCCGTTTCGAAGCTCTTCGAGCGGGGCGCGGCCAGCGAAAGTGGCCAAGGATGGACCGAGGAGGCAAAGGATGCAGGGGTGCCCTTGGAAAGGCTGCCCTGTTTTGCCATGCGGGTTGACTGCAGAAGGTGCCAACCAGGCGCCGCGCCCAACGCTTCCCCACACTCCCGGCGCAAGTGGGCAGATGGAATCAGACGCTGTGCCTGATATTGCACATCACTGTGATCATGGGGCTCTGAAGGACGATACGTCGGAGGTGCAGGGCGCCTCGCCCAAGGCATTCCCACAATCTGGGTGCGAGCGGGCACACGTGATTCCCTCCGGCGGCTCCGCCCCGGGGTGCCCACACGCCATGCCTGCTACCCGCGGTGATCATGGATCTTGAAAGGAAGAGAAATCGGAGGTACAAAACACGCACCTCGCTCACATCCCCATAATCTGGGTGCGAACGCACATGTGTGAAATCTCATGGCGGCCTGTGCGTTGAGGCCGCACCGCGGTGGTTACGACTGAGGGTGACTGTAAGGAGCGAGTACGAATGGGTCCGAGTAAGTCGGAGAACGGGTGAGTCTGACCATGAGGAGGTCTTTGTGTAACTGGTCTGTGCGAGGTCTGTGTGCATGGGTCTGGGTACGGCAAGGCTGTAGTTGAGTGGGTACGTATGGAGTGGTCTGAAGAGTGGTCTGAGTACGTGTGAGTCTGAGAGCATAAGTGAATATGAGAATGAGTGGATCTCAGTGCGTGTGCGATCTGAGTGTGAGTGGGCAGGGGTGAATTTGAGTATGAATGAGGCTGAATGAGAGAAGACAAGCGGAGGGAGTGAGAGAGAGGGCGAGGCGAAGGCAACCCAATTCGTAGCAATGGAGCGTACTTGGGACATGGCGGCAGAGGAAGCATTGCACCCATAAGAGGAAGACGTGAACCTCGCAATTGAAGAACCTCGTGAAGACCAGCGGAGCGCCGGTGCTCAGAGGCGGCATACCGTCCGTCAGCATCGGATCCTTCAGCTCGGGCCGCATGGTGAGATTCTCGACCGGCGCCGTGAGCCACTGGCCGCATGTGGTGACCAGCCCCATTCTGTCAGACTGGTGCGTGGCGAGAATCCAGGTGCGCAGCGACTCTGCTTCCGCAAGGCCGAGGATGATCCAAGATCCCCGGCTCCCGTGCTTCAGATATAGCAGCACGCTGGCGTTGGGTAGACGACGCTTTGAGACGCCGTCTTTCACGTCCTCCTTGAGCTCCTTCTCGGCGAAATTCGAGCTTAACAGGAGGTCGGTTTCGATCTGCAGTTTTGGAACAGCCTTACCCCCTTTTGAAGCAAACTGCGGCACCAAATCTTTCAGAGGAAAGAACCTATCCTTCATGAGGTTGGCACTGCCTTGATACATACCACTTGCGCTCCATTGAGTCAGCTCCGGCAGGTCCATGAACTGCCGATTTTCTTTCTCATCTTCACCCTCGATTTGTTCCTCCTTCTCTTGCTCTTGCTCCTGCTCCTGGCACATCTCGGAGTCGAGGCTCTGATTTCCCTCCTTGCAGTCCTTGGGACCCACCTTGGGCTTCGCCTGACGCACTAAATCGTTCACAACGCCCATCATCTCCTTCGGAATCCGTCGACCCCGAGGGCCACCGACGTGAGAGACGTCTGAAGGGGCCCAAGACACACAAATGAATAGACACAACTAATTAACAGGATTTCCTATATGTTCCCACATGTTCGGTGTTTTCGTCTTCCCCCCCACTTCCCACATGTTCCAACACTTTGCTGAGAGTCGACGATTAATTGTGTCTGTGTGTTTTCCCCCCTCCTGAAATACGTCGGGCCACAGTGGGGGTCGACCAGCCCAGGGGGACGCGTCGAGAGCTCGAACGAGCGATGCCTCGCCAAGAGGCCCTCGATCGCGAAACCGCACATTCCTGGGAGGGGTGGACCGCCAAGCCTCCTCCTCCCTCCTCCTCCTCCTCCTCCTCCTCCTCCTCCTCCGCCTCCTCCTCCTATCTCTACGACTCGGAGGGGATGTCTCAGAGAAATGCCCAGTTGCTAGCAGCAGCGGGAGAGATCCAGCAGCAGTGCCAGATGCCGATGGTGATGGGAGGTGATTTTAACCTTACTCCGACCACCTTGTTGCAGTCAGACTTTGTGGTGAGAGCGACAGTTCGGATTCATAGTACTGCTAAGCCCACGCATGTTGCCAAGAAGAGCAGGTCGATCTTGGATTATTTTCTTGTGTCAGAAGCCTTGGATGACAGAGTGGTAGAGACCAGCATCCTCGAATACCCCCTGACCCCGCACAGAGTAGTGCAGTTGGAACTGAAAAGTGGGCACTATCTTATTCCAGTATTGCAGCAGCCTCAGCAGCTCCCCCGCAGCTTCCCCTTCGGCCCTCTCCTGCAGCAGCTTCCTTGGACGGCAGCGACGGCAGCGATGAGGAAGGCGGAGGAGATGTTTTTCACAGAGGAAGGCGAGGTGGTCAAGCACAGCATGGCAACCAAGCAAGCAGCCCTGGATGCAGCGTATCAGGCCCTGGTCCAGGACATGGAGCAGGCAATTGCTAGGAGCACGGATACGCAACTTCGTCAACCGTCTCTTCGCGGCAAACCTCCTACGGTGAAATGGGTCCCCGCCACGGCCTTCCAGAAGAAGCACCAGAAGTCTTGGGTTTGGGGCTCCCTGGCGAAACCACTGATCTGGCTCAGGGGCAAAGCGCAGGAAACTAGAGCCTTCTTCGCGGGCAAGTGCAACGAGATTCGGAACCGAGATCCGCATCACCAGGTCACGCCGCAACGAAAATGTCACGAATTTCGGTGTCCAGAAAGTGTGACCAGCATTTCCAGATATGACGTCAACTGGGCCTTAGAAGAGGTTCAGTCCCCGCCCCAGCAGCTCAGCAACTCTGGGTCACTCCAGCAGGCCCTGGATACGTTTAGGAACCTCCTGCTGGCCATCAGTCTGGACAGCCAGGCCGGGTGCCTCAACGCCGAGTTGGTCGATCGCATGTTCGTTGATTTCTTAGACGAGCTGGAGAGTAGCATCAGCCAGGAGGAGAGGCAGAGCGCCAACGACAGCAACAAGCAGTGGAGGGACTGGGCGGCCGAGGCCATGCAAGGAGGAGCGGGTAAAGCACACACCTACTCTCGCAGTTCTCCCCCCTGGCAGCCGCAGGCAGTTAGGCATGGAGGCAGGTGGTCAGGGAGGCCCAGTCACCTGCTGCAGGCTGAGGCAGGTAGGTTGCAGGAGCTGTGGCAATCCTTATCTCACGAAGGCCCGCTGTTTCAGGGAGCCCCAGATGAAGAACCGCCGTCACCACTACAGCCTCAGCAGATCCTTGCAGCTGCCAAAACCTTCCCCAAGACCACAGGGATGACTTGGGACGGTTTTCACCCAGTGCACTTCAAAATGATTGGCCAAGTTGGGCTGGAGCTAATGGCTACCCTGTTCAAACTCGTGGAGGCCCTGGGGACCTTTCCCACTCCGCTGCGCGCTGTTCTGACGGTGATCATTCCGAAGCACAAGAAGACAGGCAGCCAGCCCCAGTACAGAGGTATAGGCATGCTCCCCAGCCCGTACAGGTTATGGGCACGCGCTAGGCAGCACGTGGCCAAGTCTTGGGAACAGAACCACAAGAGAGGGTTTTTATGCCACCAATCGGGCAGGTCCATTTGTGAACTAGTCTATATGCAGGCCTTACGTGCAGAAAGAGGACAGTACGTCAACCCCGTTATGCACACGGGCACGATCATGTGGGATTTAAGCAACTAGTACGAGCATGTGGACAGAGAGGACCTGTACCAGAAAGCGCTCCACAACAAGTTCAGTACCCACATTTTATCGGTCATTCTCAATCAGCATAAGTCTAGAAGATTAGTGTCGTTCTCGTCTATGGTCACCGACGTGGGCTACACCACCAGGGGAATCCCAGCAGGCGACAGCTTCGCCACTTACCTCGTTCAAATGTATTGCATCAATGAGCTAGACGCCTGGCAGTCTCAGCACAGTATGGTGCAGCTGAGCGTCTTCATCGACGACTTCCTCCAGCAAGCTGAAAGCAGTTCTATGCTGACGGTGCTGACAAACCTGACAGATGCAGCCCATGACATGCGACAGGTGATCGAGTTAGACCTACAGTGCCCTGTGGCCGATCACAAATCAGTAGTCCTTGCGTCTTCCGAGAAGTTGCAGTTGCAGATAGTCAAGGCCCTTGGAACCAAAGGCGGACAGGCACTAGACTCGGCAGCCAACTTGGGCATCGAAGACAGCGCTGGGCGCAGCAGAACGTACAAGAAGCACAGGCCTACAGCAATAAGACGGCACGCAAAGCTGCGCAAGCGCCTCTTCAAACTCAACAGCCTTCGAGGAGGGGCTAACATCAGTAAGCTGTACTCAGGTGGGTTGCAGCAGGCAGGATACTACGGGACGGAGGTAGATGACGGAGAAGTGAGGGCTATTCAAACCACGTTTTCAAAAGCATGCGGCCCAAGATGCACCACCAGGTCTCGCTCCCTCAGCCTCCTTCTCCTCAACGACCCCACCTGGAAGGTAGCATGTGGCCCATGCCTGACGTGGGCAAAAATTGTTTGGAGGGCAGCAACAACCAATGCAGGAGGCTGGACATTGCCTCAGCTGCGCGATTTGGTGGAGCCAACTTTAAAAGCACCCCCTAAGAGATGGACAGAGTCCCAGGGCCCTTTCGGAGCGTGTCTGTTGTTTCTCGGAAGGATTGGGTGGAAAGCGGTAAGCCCTTTTAAGTACCAAGATAAGGACGGCAGGACCTATATCCTCACCCCCGTGTCGCCCGCGCTCCTCTCCGCAGCGCTACAGAGAGCCTGGAGGGACAGGCTGGTGGAGCAAGCGAGCCAGCGACTGGGATGGGTGGAGGGTCAGGTCTGCGTCTCTGCTGCCCTTTCCATCCTCCACTCCCCCTCTCGCCCTCCGCGCGAGCGCTCCATCCTCCTCGCCTTCCTTTCCCAAAGCATATGGACCAAGTATGGTCTCAGCGAGGCAGGCTACGAAGTAGATGCGAAATGCCCATGCGGGCACCAGCATGATAGTATGTACCATCGGTTGTTTGAATGTGTGCTTTCAGCTGCGGACCGCAGCGAAGACTTAAGCTTTGAAGATATAGAGACTCTCAAGACTGCCGATTGGGCTCACTTGCAGGCCGGCCTAGGAGTTAAGGATACCTTCGACAACCAGGCTCCGCCAGGGCTTGGTCTGGAGGAAGCGACGCTGTGGGCGGTTGGCCCTCATACCACCCCAGCCCAAGCCCTGCAAGGTGAGCTGTACCTCGACGGCTCCTGTTTTAAAGACGGTCCCCAAAGTCACCATCGAGCTGGATGGGCCGTTGTAGCTCTCGACCCCATCTCGGGCGAAGCTCAACCGGCCCTCGCGGGGCCAGTGGGACGCGAGTTCCCGCAAACGTCGCCTGCCGCCGAATATATTGCGGCGCTCGCGGCTGTTAGATACGGCAGCAACATCACGTCTCTTGTTGCTGACTACTCGGGCACGTGCAAGCTGCACGACCCAACATTGTCCCATAGGAATTTCTACGCTGGGATTAAGCTGTTAATTAAAGGTAGTCCAGGCTGGCATCGAGACCTCAGCCTAATTAAGGTCAAGGCGCACCAAGACTTAGACAGTCTGGAACGCCACACCGACGAATGGAGGAAGGCCGCAGGCAATGCCGAGGCGGACAAATGGGCGAAGTGGGCTGCCAACGAGCTGGCCAAACCCTCACCCGCCGAAGCGCAGATAAGTGAATACAGGTTTAAACTTTTGCAGCGGTTCCTCAGATATGCTTGCAAGGTCTTGCCAAAGTGGCCTCCTGTGGCCTCTTCGGCTGGTGGCAGAGCTCTGGCCAAACCAAGCAAGTCAAATTCCCCTCCTGTGGGGGCCGCCGCCGCTCAGGGCTCCAAGCCCGTGCCTCCTCCCCCCCGTCCTCCCGCTGCGTCTCGGGGTGCTGGGGGCCTCCTTGTGCACGATTGGGTCTGGAGTCTGGGAGGTTGGGTGTGCAAGCTTTGTAAAACCCGAGCCTTGACGGACCATAGTAAAGAATAGAGGCTCAGTGAGAAGTGCACTGGCAATTCTCCTTTGAAGACTCTCGCTGCAGACAGCCACGGCCACAAGCTGGTGGTTGCAGATTTTGCAACAAGAGAGAACTTTATCATTGCTTGTCAGATGTGCGGGGCTTATGCTGTGTCGAACCCACGTAACTGGACCTCTCCGTGTCCTGCACATTTTGCTGAGAGTCAGAACCGTGGAGCCCGATATGCATGGCAGCATATCTGCAACGGCAGACATCCCAAGAAGTCGGGAGTTCAGCTGAATCGTGTTATCCCTCTTGACCAGCTTATGCTCTCTTTAGCTGAGGAGCAGGAGCGGGAGGCGGAGGTGGGGCAGGAGCAGGAGGGATGAGCTCTCCTGCCGCCCGCCCGCCGCGGCCGCCAACAGCAGGCGCGCCGCTCCCGCGCGCGCCACCCCCTTGCAAAGGGTAGTGGGGCAGCGTAGCAGAGACACAGACACTGCTGAGGTTTTGGGTTGGGTCGGTTCGGCCAACCCTCAGCCTTCCTCCCTTCTTACTGCGTGCTACTCCGCCTCCTCCTCCTCCTCCTCCTCCTCCTCCTCCTCCTCCCTCTCCTCCTCTCCCTCTTCCCCCTTTTCACCGTCCTCCTCCTCCTCCTCCTCCTCCTCCTCCTCCGCCTCCTCCTCCTCCTCTCCTCCTCCTCCTCCTCCTCCTCCCTCCTCCTCCTCCTCCTCCTCCTCCCCCTCTTCCCCCTTCTCCTTCCTCCTCCTCCTCCTCCTCCTCCTCCTCCTCCTCTCCTCCTCCTCCTCCTCCTCCTCCTCCTCCTCCTCCTCCTCCCCCTCCCCCCCCCCCTCCTCCTCCTCCTCCTCCTCCTCCTCCTCCTCCTCCTCCTCCTCCTCCTCCTCCCTCCTCCTCCTCCCCCCCTCCCCCCTCCCCTCCTCCCCTCCTCCTCCTCCTCCTCCTGTCCCTCTTCCTCCTGTCCCTCTTCCTCCTCCTCCTCCTCCTCCTCCTCCTCCTCCTCCACCTCCTCCTCCTCCTCCTCCTCCCTCTCTCCTCCCCTCCCCCTCCCCCTCCTCCTCCTCCTCCTCTTCTTCCTCTTATTATTCTTCTTCTTCTGCTTCTTCTTCGTCTTCTGCTTCTTATGCTTCTTCTTCTTATTATTATTATTAATCTTGTTTTTCTTCTTCTTATTCTGCTTATTATTATTTGTATTCTTCTTCTTCTTATTGTTTTTCTTCTTCTTCTTCTTCTTCTTATTATTATTATTATTCGTCTTCTTCTTCTTATTATTATTAGTATTATGCTTACTATTCGTATTCTTAGTATTCTTATTATTCTTCGTTTTTATGCTTATTATTCTTCTTCGTATTCTTCTGATTATTCTTAGTATTATTATTCTTATTCTTATTATTATTATTATTATTATTATTATTATTAATATTATTCTTATTATTCTTATTATTCTTATTCCTCCTCCTCCTCCTCCTCCCCCTCC